TGGGATCATTTTCTTAAGAGACGACATTTGTAAGCAATTTCTATTGCATCTGCAAACTACAGATCAGCAGCCCCTCGCTTAGGAGCATCAGGATGCTCTTACTTCTGTGATGTTGGTGGAAATCAGAGGGGGAGGAAGGTCAGCTTTCCAAAAATAATTTTAAGGCCACATTTCAAAAAAGAGAAACCTAAGGCTTTTTTTTTAAAAAAAAAGGGGGGGTGGGGGTGGGGATGGGAGAAGCAAGTCGAAAGAAAATGAGAAATGGAGTCGATGGCATTAGGAAAGGGGCTGGCAAGGGACAGAGCCTGCTTTCTGGTGGTGTCTGCAGGCAGAAGCAGCTGCAGTATTCCCAGCCAAATGGAGGGGAAGAGAGGTCGCTTTCTCCCTGCACGGGGCTTGGCAAGAACAGAACCAAAGACAACGTGAGGGGTAGACACAGGTGGTGCATGAAAGCCCTCCTCAGTTTTACGAGGGTCCTATACAATATCTTGTTTGCAAGGTAAAAAAAATAATACTTCTAAGTTGAGAGAGAGAAAGAGAGAGAGAGAGAGAGAGAGAGAGAGAGAGAGAGAGAGAATTTGCATAGATCGTACATTCAGCTCAAGCAGATTTGGACACCTTTATCCCCCCAGGTAAACTTCTCAGCAGACACAATGAGGTAGCGCCTGTGATAGACCCATGGGCAAAGTAAGGTAACTGAGGCAGAAACAAAGAGGACATCCCATGAGCAAGCACAGCTCCGTGTGGGCTCTAAAGAGGCTTCCAGAGACATGGCAAGTTGACTGCCCAAACTTGGGATTTGGTGGGAGCCCGGCTGTCCCCACACCACTCCCCTCTTCCTGGAGCCTGTCCTTGCCACTTCTGCCTGGATGGATGGAATCCTGGGAAGTGTGACCCAGCCAGAGGTGGACCTCAGTATGTCTAAGGGACAGCAGTCCAGATCTCCAAATTCTGTGCCTTCGTTCCTTCAGCATATGGTCATCATTCCCCATTCCCTTCAGAGTTCAACAAGAGCTATTATTTTTGCCCATACCTAATGCTGACTTTCCCCCTCCTGCACTAGGGCAATGCCTAACCTCATTTTAAACCACCTCTCCAGAAAGGAGAGGTTGCTGGCAGCGTACACACAGAACTGTGAGATTTTTCTTTGCCTACACTCTGTTAAAAAGAAAAAAAAGAAGTTGAAAAATAAGATTTTCTGTAAAAACCTGAATTTCTGTCCTCTTTTACCAAATTGGAAGATTCCACTACACTGTGCTTGTATTCTTATGTGCAAGGACAGGCTACAACTGAGCAGAGGCCACTCTTTCTAGAGGGGTCACAGGCATGCTGGTAAGACCACAGTCCCCACCACTCCCTTTTGTCTTACACCAACAGTTTCACTCATCTGTGTTAGTGTCCTGCACTCTCTAAGCATTTGTGACCCCTACCACAGAGTGTGGCTTTGATTTGGAGGGCCCACCTTGAGTGTGCTGACAGCTGCTTCCAACCCACCCCGGGATGCTGCTGGGGAGCTGGTGTCCCAAATCCTCAGTGAACTTGGTTGTGAAAGTGGGTGTTGGCTCATGCCCCACACCCTGCGGCTACTGCACCCCTCTACTCTGCACCTTCTTGGCAGACAGGTCAAGGTTCCAGCCAGTGTTTTCCCTGCATCTGCAAACTAGAGAAGTTGGAAAAAGGTCCCCACACACCCAGGCCTCTGCCCAGAGTGGCTTGTAATCCACCCCTTTGGGATGAGAAGTTGTGTGGTCTTACTCATTCCCTCTAAACTCCACTTGCAGTTTAAAAGTTAACCTAACAATGAAAAATAAAGCCAGGATGACTCCTGATCCCTCCAGAAAGGCTTTTCTTCAAAGGGAAGAACCAGTGCACTTTTTAAAACCCAGAGGCCTCAGGAATCGCTCCCTTTCTGTTGGAGACATATGCTTTACGCACGGCCTGGGAAGCAGGATTTGGGAAGGTTGGCTGTCTACTGAGCCCAATTTCTGCCTGAACACCACTGGGTGGGTGGGAAATCGTAAACAGGGATATTGAATGCTTCCTCCTCCCCACAATCCAACCCGAGTCCTATGTGTAAGCCTTCTCAAGTTTCCAGGGACCTAGCCAGTGGCTCAGCTCACAGTTGCTGTGCCTTTGCAGATGGCAATAGGGTTTCCAGGGACCACAATCTATGCTTTTGAAATCCTCAGGCAGCCGTAGCTCAAGGCTGCCTGACCAATGGTCTCTGACAAATAAATCATTCTCAGGGAAAAAAAAAAAAAAAAAAAAAAAAAGGAGTTACACTATTTTCCCTGGGAAAACAGCCCCTTTTCTCAAATCATGCTGGGCTTTGTTCGAAATTTTCCTTCTTTACCAAATGTAACGGCTGCAAAGTTCTTCTCTGATCCAAGAACAGAGACAAATGAACACCCCGTGTGACTTCTCAGCTCCCCGATTATTGTGGGGAGTGGGGAGTGAAGCCACGGGGGCAGGGGACTGTCCCCAGAGTAAGCTAGCTGTGCCATTTCTCTTCTTGTTCCAGGAGGGAGAAAAGTCAGAAATGTCAGTGGGTGCAGGAGGGGCCCCGTCTCCGAGTCTGCAGGCTCCCATTGTACACAGGAAACCGCCAGGGCCGAGTCCCTGAAACCACTGCAGATAACGCTGCGGAAATCACAGAGCCCTGGTTGCCTGGCAAGAAAGGTGAACGGGGAGGCTCCCAGGTGACTTGAGCAGCCCAGAGAAACCCTGACCAGAGGCAGGGGCGGGGGCAGAAAGAGGACACGGCACCCAGCTTGTGGCTCCCACAGAGTCTGATCATGTGGACCTTCTGAAAGACCACTAGGGGCCCCAGAAACACTGTTGACAGTGCCTGTCTCCTGGGTCTCCTGGCTAGACTGCCCACCATCTTCCTAAGATGGGTCTCCTTCTGAAAAAGCCCTTTTCTGTTTCCCTCTGCCATCATCACATCGAGGACCAGGGTTAGATGGGACATGGGAAGCCATCGATAGAGAAGGAGGGATGGCCCATGCTTTCTGGTCAGTGCGTCCCCTCCCCCAGGTCTTCAGCCTGTCACATCCCTGTGCCTGGCAGGGGGACAGGGGTGGCTCAGAAATTCCAACACTCTTGGTATTGAAGGGACAGATGAAGCTAACACCCTGCAGAAGGGGACATGAGACTCCAGTGGTCCCCAAGACACCCCACTGCAAGCCAGAGGATGATGCTGGTCAAAGCTTTCTCCTTGTGGTGTCCACACTCCTGCTTTACTCTGAGGACAAGGAGAATGTAGGGCAGACACAGAGAGAGAGGAACCGAGAGAGCGAGAAAGAGACAGAATGATAGACAGACTAGGGGGCAGGTGGGAGAGGAGGGGAGGGGGTGGCAAGGGGTGGGGGACAGGGAGCCTTTTGTGAATAAAGGCAGCTTCAGTTAGTAAGATAACATAATTGACAAGCTGCGAAAACAGCACCTACTAATTAGTCATTGACTAAAACATATAAATAATAAATATCTAAAGTGTTCTTTCTCTATGTCCTCCATTGCCAATAGGACATCCTGCCTTGCTGGGCGGGGGACAGGGGGCCACACGACTGACAGGCCATCCTGGAGGTACTGCAGAACCTTAAACCCTGGGATGGAGAGAAATACAAGGACTGTATTCTCTCTGTATCCATGGGAAGGGTAGTTGGCAACCAGGGGCTGACTTTTCCAAGGGAGTCCTGTCATTTGGGGAGGTGGGATTCCAGGGGGAAGGGAGCCTCTGGGGAAAGGTTCTCCAGATTAGCAGGGAAGGCCCTACAGGAGACACATGGCAAGGAAACCCTTCAGCCTTCTGGTAACTCAAGCAATGTTAATAATACTATCTTTTATTTTTTTAAACAACCTTCCCACTTTTACGTTGCATGTCCTGATGGGCCTGTTGGCACCTCAGATAAGGAAGGGCATGAAATTAAAAACCAAATCTGAAATGCTTTTTCCTGGATGTGAAGTCTGGTCCATGCGGTTTGGTCACTCCCAGCAGCACCAAGTGTGCAATTCACAAAGTTGTGAGTGCCTGACCTCAGACCCAAAGGACCTCTGTGCTAGCCAGGTCTGGAGTTTGGCTCCAAGCAATTTTGTGAGTTTCCTGGCCACGGTCCCCAAAGCTCCCATTTTCAAGGACCAAAGAGGTCATGGTCTTGCTCTCCCAGCCCATGTAGCATCATCCCATTTCTGCTACATTGTGTGGTAGGCTTGAGGGAGGGTAAGCAGGCCACTGGACAGTTGGCAGTCACACTTCTGGGTAGATCTCAGCCATGTCATGGCAAAAGGCTTTCTCGATTTGTTAGTTACGGAGGGCAACAGCTCAACCTGAGAAGGGTGGGTGGGAGGCTCAGAGCCCTCCCAAGCCTGTTCCCTCCCTGGGAGAGGGCCCATGACTGTGACTTTCAATGGCTGTCATTTTGGGACTGGCACAGTTTCCCAGAAGGATGAACAGAAGGATGGGGCTGGAGACCACACCATGGTCTGGGCAGTGCTTATCAAACTGGCTTTTGCAGAGCCCTTGGGGTCTGAACAGGTACCTTGGGAGATGCCCTTGGCAAAGGGACTGACTGGCAGGCTGAGCCTCTAGAGGGAACCTCACCAGAGCAGCTTGGATTTCATCTGCACCTTGAATATCTACCTACCACTGCACTTAGTAAACAAAGTTCTGCTGCTCAAAACAAAAGTTTGAAAATCGCTTGTCCTGGGATTGGTCATTAAAGTGGGAAGACAAGGAACCTGTAGATCTTGAGGATCAACCAGAAGAGGCGAGACCACTGTGGCACTGGGACTGACCCATCCCCGCCCTCAGAAGCCAGCTACCAAATGCAGGTGTTCTGACCCTGCTTTGGCCTCTTAACCTTCATTTTCCATCATTCTACGGCCAGGAGAGTCCCTTACACAAAAGGCACCCCCTGGGGTGGGAGGCCAGGGTTCAAGCCCCGTTGGCCTCTCTGGCTGTTTTCCCACTGAGATCCGCTGTGGCCCCCTGGTGCCCAGTGCTACCTGAGCCGACCATCAGGTTTGACCGCCCCCAGCTCCGACTTGGGGTCGGGGCTGAAGGAGCTCCAGGCCGTCTGGCTGCAGGTCTGCATGACCGGGCAGGCAGTGGGGCCCGTGGCACAGATGTCCATGGCGGTCCACATCCCACCCACCAGCGAGTCCAGCCAGCCCTCCAGCGCTGTGCCCGTGGAGGCGGCGTTCCTCCGAGCCTGCTCCACTTGGGCGGGGCTGATGGGGAGGCTGAGGACGGGGTTCAGGCTCTGGAAGCTCTGCTCCATGTAGGCGCTGCGGAGGGGCCCGTTATGCATCTTCAGTGCCTCCTCTGAAAGCCAAAGGGAACACGAACATGATTCGAAGAGCCACTAAATGGGTACATACTTCCTATGTGCCTGGTGCCCCACCAGGCACTGTGCGTCACCTCGATTAATCACAAGAAAGTTCTTTTATCAGTCCCAGGAATGCAGGGCACAGTGCATTCCTTTATTCATTCAGCACATATTTATGGAGCATCCTCAATAGCCCAGACATTCATTCATTCATTCAATACTTTTAAGCACTTACTTTTTGCACAGCATTCATTCAATGGGTATTTACCGAACATCCGTAATTAGCAAAGCATTTATTTATTTCATAAAGATTTACTACATGTCTATCAGATACCAGCCCCTATTCTAGGAGATGGAGTGAACCAGATAGTCAGGGATGTTAAGATCCAGTGGAAAGAGACCTACGACAACAAAGGAATAAACAAGTAGATAAATAAGGTCATTTCAAGCAGTGGTAAATGTCATGAAGGGGATAAACAGGGTATTGAGTCAGAGCAGGGGGTGACAAACTATGGCTCTGGGGCCAAATCTGGCCCACCACCTGTTTTTGTAAATAAAGTTTTATTGAAACATGGCCTATTTGTTTGCTTATTGTCTATGGCTGCTTTTGTGCTACCATAGCAGAGGCGAATAGCTGAGACAGATCATACTTTTTGCTTGAAAAGCCAAAAATATTTACTATCTAGCCCTTTACAGGAAAAGTTTGCCAGCTCCTGGGTTAGACAGTGACAGGGTGTTTAACCTCTCTGGGGAGGTGACATCTGAAATGAGTGCTGATTAAGGTGAAGGAAGAAGCCACATACAGATCCTGGGGAAGAGAATTCTGGGCTGACGGAACAGCAAGTACAAAGCCTAATTAGAGTCTTTCCCCAGATCACACAGATAATGAGTGTCAGGGCCAAGGTTTGAACCTAGGTCTGTTGACCTCAAAGTCATCTCTCGGCTGCTAAGTGTCCACTATGAACTCTGAATAAGCCATGGACTTCTGCTTCCTGGCAGCCTGGTCCAAGGCATGGTGCATGAACTGACCACAGCAAAATCGTCCTGGCAAGCATGAAGCCTGGACCAGAGTGGGGTCAAACTAGCCATAACAGCTTTGCTTTGTCGAGCACCTACTACATGCCAGCTATTCTGCAAAATACTTCATGCAAGAGCCTGGGTACTGCAGTCGGGCTGTCTGGGTTTGAATACCCACGTCCTGCATACCACGGGTGTGACTTCTGACTTCAACACCCTGTGGCCTCAGTTTCCTCATCAATAAAATGGACACAACACTAATATCTTCCTCATAGCTTTGTTTATGAGGATTAAATATGTTGACATATAAAATACTTAAAAGGGCACCTACTATACATTAAAGGCTTGAAAAAGTTTAGCTAGGATTATTATTATTGGCATTATTAGTCCATAATCCTTGCACAAACAAAAATCTCTATGGTTGATTTTATCATCCCCATTTTACAGATGAGGAGACAAAGGCATTTATGGTTAGAGACAGATCTGGGGTTAAATCCAGCACTAGCTGACTCCAAAGCCAGCGTTTGGCATATTGATACTCTGCTGCAGAGTCATCCACCAGCTGGAAGCTGAAGCAATGTTTCTGTTTCTGTTTTTTCATGTGGGGGCCAGTCTTTCAAAGACTTGCTTTCTCCATCTGTAAAGTGGGGACACTCACCCTGACATCAATTAGACCCACAAGACTGAGAATAGGCTTAAACAGAAGTTCATGTGCTTTGTAAATGGTAATGTATACACGAGAGGGGCTTAAAGGTGGGGAAGCAGAAAGTGCAGGAGTTGGGGTCAAGGAAAAAAGCTAGATGCTTCTATTTGGAAGAAGTTCCCATGTATTGTTTGTTTTATTGCTAAATATATTTGGGGAAAAAAAAAGACTGGTCATTGGTGAGTTGTGTTTTACCAGATCGGGTTTTGCTACAGCCAAGATAGGTAGGTTTGGAAGAAATTTCCCTATGTGACCATGCAGTGTTCAGAAGACAATGCTTCCTGTTTGTTTGACAGTGGCTGTCACCACCAATGGCAACCAGGAGAGCCTGGATAATTAGCAGGTTATCTTCTTCTAATATGGGTGGTACTGAGTGTGGAAGAAGGAGGAAGAAAGACCATATGCCTGCCCTTCTAAAAGTAATGAGAAAACTAGCTGAATTAAAAATATGCCTTGGCTAACACAGACAAGAACATCATTCCTTTACTACCCAATGGTCCAGGAAGCTGAGGCTGGGCTCTATGGTTTGGAGGGGAACAGGCAGGAAGGAGGAGAGGAGTGTGCATTGAGTATATATTCTATCTTGCTGTGATTTAGCCAAGCATCTCTCTTTTGTGGTGGTTAGGAACTACCGTGTGTATAAATCTGGTCCTAGCCCAGCTCTCTCTCACGTCAGCAGCCAGGGTGGGCAGTGCCTGCACCATGACCCAGGAGAACAGATCCTGCCGTTTTCGGTGCAAGTCCTACTTTCTCTACGAGAGCCTCTCAGTGCCTCCGTCCTGCAGAGATAAAAAGCTGGGGAGTAGGGAGATGCCCAAACTGGCAAAAGGCAGGGCGAAAGGAGCAGTTAATGAACACTGGAACACTGGGAAACCAAATATTGTGGTGGATGCAAAAAACTCTTATGAAAAATGAGGTTGTTGTGGGAAATGCTACACTGTATCAGCTCGCAGTGCTTGCCTCTGTAATTAAATTTTCCTCAATTCCACCTCATCAGATTTCTTGAGATTACCAGGGATGCATCAATAGCAAATTACTCTCGATGAATCATTTTACAAATTGCCTGGCTCCCACATTCGTGTTCCGTGTCATTGGAACATCGTTAACAAATACAATTACCGATGACAGGAGGCTGCTCCCAGTGGGGTACAATGACCCCTGGGACATCCTGGGCATGGTAAGAAAAGCTCTGCCTTCTTTGGAAACTCCAAAAGAAAACACTGGAAAAATCGGTACCCGGGCTACTTTACTGGGGTTGGGGTGGATTCAGGACCACTCCTTTGTTCTGTCCAACAGGTGTCACAGATACAACGAGGAAGCTACTATTTCCATTCCTCCATGACTGGCTTTGGAATCCCTAGGGATATGGGACACTTGGGGGTCCTAAGTGGGTGGGCTCTGGCTTGGCTCGCCCAAGAGGGGTGATCTTTTGCCTGATTCATAGAGGGTGGAGGAACATGCTCCTATCCCAAGAAAACACGAGGTCTCTGTCTTTCTGCTTGCTCAGTACAAAGACTTAGCAGAAGCTGACAGAGCTCACTTCAAGATGCCCTTTTGTAGGACTCCAGGCACCCCCTCCTCACATCTGTGTCCCCCTCCTCTTGAGTCATTAGCTAAATGGCACCCAGCCCAAAACTCTTTTTAGCTAACAGGGGCAGTAAAGTGTTTCTGGCATCTGGGTGTGTGACCTGTTAGATGGAGATGAATAATCCCAAATACTGAGAGACTCGGAAATCCTGTCCATTGGAGTCTGTCTTATGGATGTACCTGCATGGTCACATACAATTTTATGTGTAAGAATCCTTCTTGCAGCATTGTCTGTAACAACAACATCATCAGTAACAACAGAAGCTTATGTGTGGAATATGATGCAGCTGGTAGCTTTATATATACTGACTTAGAAAGTGATCAAAGCAAATTTCAGCACAAAACGTATGAATCCATTTTTAAAAAACAAAGTTTTTATGATTTGTGATGTGTGTGATGTTTATGCTTTAAAAGCATCTAAAAGGACACACACCAAACAGTGGTTACTCCTGGAAGTAGGATTTGATCAGGGAGAAAGACATTGATAAAAGAAGGTGGGAATGGGAAGCAGAAACATAAAATAAACCCTTTGAATGGAAATAAAAGGCAGGCGTGTTAGGAGTCTGCTGTCCATGCCCAGTGGAAACAACTGTCTTGGATTTCATGTTAGTAATTGCCTCACAGCTTTCTACCAAAACACAAATCCTGAAATAGTACATTGTTGGCTTTGCCTGTTTTTGAACTTTAAATAAACACATCCTAATTACGACCTTTTTCTGTGATATTTCCCCCTTAATGTTATGCTTTAGAGACTCATCCAAGCCATGACACGGGACTGTGATTTGTGGATGTTTTACTGCTACATAGTACTCCACTGCATGACTAGACCACAGATTGCTTATCCATTCGAATGGTGGGCGTTTGGACTGTTTCTGGTTTTGTGTTATTATGAGTAATTTTCACGTCAATATTTCTGTACATGTGGCTAGGGCCTATACCTAAGGATGGAATTTCCATGTGGTAGCATATGTGTATGTTCAGCTTTGCTAGGAGGATGCTAAACCATTTTCCAAAAAAAATCTTATCAATTTACCTTCCCACTAGTGCTGGATGAATGTCCGCTATTCTCCAGCCTTACCAACATATGACATCATCTAGCCTTCCACATTTCCCAGTATGGTTGGTGTGAAGTGGAACTTCTTTTAGCTCTTAATTTGCATTTCTCTTATTATTAATGAGGCTGAGCTTTTTTTATACGTGTGTGGGCCATTCATGCTCTCTCTCCTATTTTTTTTTTGTTTCCCCCTCTCTGTTACCATAGGGTTTGGAAATCTTTTTTGCAAAGGGCCAGATAGTAAATATCTCTGGTTCTGTGGGCCATGGTAGTCTCTGTCACAACTATTCAACTTTGCAGCCTCAAAGCAGAAATAGACAAGCATGTAAGTGAATGGGCACGACTGTGTTCTAATAAAACTTTATTTACAAAATCAGGCAGTGGGTCAGATTAGGCTTGTGGCCTGTAGTTTGCCAACCTCTGATTTATAAGATTTCTTTATATATTTTGAACATGAGTACTTTTTAAAATATGGGTAGCAAATATCTTCCACTAGTATGTGCTTCATCTTTTCACCTAGTGTATATTTTTGATGAACAGATTCCTATTTTAGTTATTTTCTTTTAAACAGTAAACAAGATTTGCTGAAACTCAATATCTGCCTGAGTTTATTTCCCATCTCGTCTTAACTATGATCAAGCCTTCTGGAAGTCCAATGGGAGCATATCTACTCAATCGGCATCTAATATATAGACAGATGACATCACCTCAGTGTGCACGTAGATCAGGTGGTTCTCTGGGACAAATGAGCAGGAAAAAATACAGCAAGCAAGAAGCGCTGTTCTGCAAGGCAGCTACATGCATGATATCTGAGCAGGATTGTCTGCCAAGGCCAAGGACCCACGAGGACCCTGGGGATGGACTCTTTCCCCCACAGAGATACTGGGAGTACTCACCTGGTTTGATGGGCTGCCTGTTGGAGAAGGTCAGAGGTGTGACAAGGAATTTGGTCTCTGCAACTGACACCCAGTGGTGAAGAATTTTCACTGTCCAGACCCCAGGCCTCAGGGGCAAGTTCAAAGGGGGCTTGTAGTGAGTGAATTCAGCAGTGGACTCAATGAGGATGTCGTAGGTGGCTGCAATGATGTTGACAGGATCTACCCAAATGACGGTCACGGTCACATTGGGCCCCTTCCCCCATTTCTGCATACCCACTGGCTCATCCATGGGCCCCAGGAGACCCCCAAAGTTGCGAAACAGCCGCTCCTTGGCATCCCAGTCAGTGCCGACCTGAAACAAAAGAATGATTCCTGAAACAAGGGTGCTACATCCCAGAAAGGCCTGGGATCCTGCTTGTTAGGTTTCATTTATCCATTTTACAGATGAGGAAACGGAGGCCCATATTAAATCACCTGTTCAAGGTTGCACAGCTAGTAAGCAGAAGACTTGGGATTTGGACTCAGTCTGGGGGATCACAAAGCCTGTGGTCCTTTCACTAAACCACTGGGCCTCCTGTGTCCGGTACACAGTGTGCATTTTGAAAAGAATAATATGCACTAAATGAATGAATGAATGTCCACTTGCAGGCCATTCCAAGGAAACATACACCCTGCCAATCAACAGGTACACCTGGTTTCTGCTTTGGTCCTTGGTTTTCCAAATGACACACCTCCATTTCATTTAATTGTTCTGAACAAGAATGGAGATCAGGTTTTAGAGCTGCCCTATCATAAGCTAAGAAAAAGGAGAGGGCCTCTCTTGCCTATCATTTGCAGTAGTTCAAGTGGCTTTCCTAGGAAGACAGATTTGGCTTCCCCAAAACATTCGGATCTGGGCCCTAGGGATGGAAGGCATGTGCGAGCCCTCTGTCCTGCCTGCCAGCTGGGTGTGTGTGTGGTTTTGACCCACAGGGATCTGTTCTTTGCTTCCCTGCTTCCACTTTTGCCCTCTGCAATGTATTCTCTACCCAGGAGGCAGAAAGACCTTGTAAAATGTCCTCACTGCTCAAGCCCTGTGGCTTCCTCCTGCCCTCGATGTCCTTCCTAGCCCCCCCACCCCAGGCCCCACGAGGCCTTGCCTGCCCCCGACCCCTGCAAGACCATCTCCCTGTCCTCTTCCATGCTAGCCTTGTTCCCACCCTCAAACCTATCAGGCTCGTTTCCACCTGAGGGTTCCCTGTACCATTTGTCCTGCCTGGAATCTGTGAGGTCTCCTCACAGAGTCCTTACCTGATTGTCCTAAATCTAAAATGGCCCTTCGGTCACTCTCTGTCCCTCCTTGCTGCTGTATTTCCTTTCTACCAGAGGCGATAAGCACTATCTGGGAGCTACCTGTTGATGTATTTATTCCTTATCTCCTCTTGCTGTCATAGAAGCTCTCTGTTAACAGAGGCCGGGCCTGCTCACTTCTCTGCTCTTGGTGCCTAATACTTGCTTAGCACACAGTAGATGCTCAAGCAATGTTTGTCAAATGAATGAGTGACTGACTTAAACAATAAGTGAATTGACTACGTAGATCCCTGACACTGAGTTTGGTTGCTATTTCAAGTCAAATTAGATGAGGAGTCTTTTGGTTTGAAAAAAAATTCTGAAATCTCCCCCAGGGGGATTCATATAGTGATTTTCAAAAATAATTTAAAAAGTTTTTTAAATTTGTCAATGTACAATATAGTTGATTTTCATGTCATATAGCAATTTTTGAAGACACAGCACGTGGGCATGTTGGTAGCAGCTAATGAGCCAAAAGAAGGTTTGCCCTGCCTCTGTGGTCTCGCCATACCCAGCATCTCTAATGTCTGCATGTGTGTGAAGGTGATGATGTAGGTGTGGGAATATATATCTACACTCTGAGCAGATTTCATATTGCAGTGCAAACGGGAGCTGATTTATTTTCTCATTCTTGCCACGAGTTACTATGTTCATTCTTAACCCAGGATGCAGGGCTCCCCGGCTGATATTTACCGAGGGCTTACAGTGTGCCAGGCATGATGTTAAGTGCTTGGATACATCAGTTCATTTAATATTCCCAACTCCATGGAGGGGAGACCCTTGTCATTATCCTCATTTTATAGATGAGGAAACTGAGGCTCAGAGATGTTAGCTAACTTGCTATGGGCAGAGGGGCACAGCAAGCATGGGAACTCAGGAAGTCTGATCCCAGAGTCTGCGTTCTTATCCACTAAGCTACACAAGTGTATATTGCCTCCCATTCACTCATTCACTCACTCACTAACTCATTCAGTCATTCATCCAACACACAGAACACTGCCTATCAGGGGCGGCTGCCTTACACGCGCATGCACAGGCACACACCTTGCTTTGTATTTCCGTTGGACCAGAGACTAAAGCTTGGGACTGAGAAGTTAATGAGGGGCAAAGTGGTAGCTATGGCTCTGATGTTCTGCAGGGGCTGCCTTTCCCCAGAAACTTGTGAAGTCTTGGTATTTTCTACGACCCTGTGATCAGCAGGGACCTCCTGTTGCCTAGACAGTGACTGAACACAGTAGGAATTAAAAGGATACTATTCATTGAAGGAATAACGAATGAGTGAACAGGATTCAGAGTCTTGGAGATTTTTCTTTTCATGTCATATAGCAATTTTTGAAGACACAGCACGTGGGCATGTTGGTAGCAGCTAATGAGCCAAAAGAAGGTTTGCCCTGCCTCTGTGGTCTCGCCATACCCAGCATCTCTAATGTCTGCATGTGTGTGAAGGTGATGATGTAGGTGTGGGAATATATATCTACACTCTGAGCAGATTTCATATTGCAGTGCAAACGGGAGCTGATTTATTTTCTCATTCTTGCCACGAGTTACTATGTTCATTCTTAACCCAGGATGCAGGGCTCCCCGGCTGATATTTACCGAGGGCTTACAGTGTGCCAGGCATGATGTTAAGTGCTTGGATACATCAGTTCATTTAATATTCCCAACTCCATGGAGGGGAGACCCTTGTCATTATCCTCATTTTATAGATGAGGAAACTGAGGCTCAGAGATGTTAGCTAACTTGCTATGGGCAGAGGGGCACAGCCAGCATGGGAACTCAGGAAGTCTGATCCCAGAGTCTGCGTTCTTATCCACTAAGCTACACAAGTGTATATTGCCTCCCATTCACTCATTCACTCACTCACTAACTCATTCAGTCATTCATCCAACACACAGAACACTGCCTATCAGGGGCGGCTGCCTTACACGCGCATGCACAGGCACACACCTTGCTTTGTATTTCCGTTGGACCAGAGACTAAAGCTTGGGACTGAGAAGTTAATGAGGGGCAAAGTGGTAGCTATGGCTCTGATGTTCTGCAGGGGCTGCCTTTCCCCAGAAACTTGTGAAGTCTTGGTATTTTCTACGACCCTGTGATCAGCAGGGACCTCCTGTTGCCTAGACAGTGACTGAACACAGTAGGAATTAAAAGGATACTATTCATTGAAGGAATAACGAATGAGTGAACAGGATTCAGAGTCTTGGAGATTTTTCTAAATCTGATCCCTATTTTCCTACTGACAACCCCTGTCAGCTCCTCATTGTTTTTAAACCCAGTCTCTCACCCTGTCCTGAGAGACCTTTTCCTCCTGGCTCCGGCTTCGTCTCTATCCCCCTCCCTCTCCTTGTTCCAGGTCACGCTGTGTTACTCTCGGCACCTCCTGTGAAGGGCTCTCTCTTGCCTCCGATCTTGAGTCCATGCCTGGACCTCTCTTTGGCACAGTCTTCCTTTCCCCACCCTCCTTCTGGCCAGCATGAACTCATCATCCAGACTTTGGCCCACGCATCACCTCTACTTACCCTGGGTACAGGCACCACAGAGGAGCGTCTCTGAGCACTGACTATCACAGCTTTTAAATTTTTTTGGCACAGTATTGCATCTTTTAATTTATGTGTCTGTCTCCCTAGCTCCAGAACATCAACTCTATGGGAGCAGGGACTATATCTGGCTTGCTCGCCAACATATCACTAGTGCCTAAAATAGTGCTGAGCATATATTATACGTGCAATACATCTCCATCTTTATATTTCTATCTATCTATCTACTATCAATCAATCACATATGTGTCTTTTCTGTCTATCTAGCATCTATCTGTCTATCAAACTATCATCTACAGGCTGACTATACTTTATCTGAAATGCTTGGGACCGGAAGTGTTTCAGACTTTGTACTTTTTTGGATTCTGAAATATTTGCAACATACTCACCAGTTGAGCATGTCAAATCTGAAAATCTGAAATCCAAAATGCTCATTGGAGCATCGTGTGGGTGCTCAGAAAGTTTCAGATTTTGGAGCATTTTGGATTTCAGATTTTGGGATTTGGGATGCTCAACCTGTACCTATATATCCATCTACCGTTTCACTATCTATCAATCATCTATCTATTTATATGTATGTATTTATTTCTCATCTATATATCATCTGTATATTTCTCATATGTCTATCATCTATCTATATATTATTTCTCATCTATCAATCATCCATCTATCTCCATTTTTCATCTATCCATATATCTATGCCTCATCTATCGGCTATCAATCATCCATAATCTATCTTCTATCTATCTACCGATCCACCTGTCATCTATGTTTTTCTATCACCTATCTATCTTTATCTATCATCTTCCTGTCTATCATCTACCTATCTCTACGTTTCTCATCTGCCTATCAATCATCTGTCTGCATGTCTACCTATCAGTCTGCCATCTATCTATATACCTATTATCTATCTATAATCTATATATCTGTCTGTCTGTTGTCCATCTATCCATCCATCTACCTATCTATCACCCGTCTATCTTGAACTTGAACACATATTGAGTGAGTGGGGGCTGGGCACACAGAGTTCCCTATGCACCCAGGCCCTCCGCACAGTGGTTTCCAATAGATACTAACAAAATGAATACACAGTCGCAAAATTACTTTGGGATCATACTTAAGTTAGGGATGTTTGACCAGTTAGGGGCCTGTGGGGACTTTCCAGAACACTGTCCTTGGATCCTCCAAAGAAACGGGGATGAGCAGTTCTCTGAGATCAGAGTTCTAAAACCAAGATAACTCAGGTGGAGAGTTATGGAGCAGCTGACAAAAAACCTGGGTCTGTTTCTAAACTGAGGAGTGTGAGGAGAAAGTCAGGGGCAGCCCCCAAGCATGACAGGAGGTGGGGTGGCTTCAGATGGAACCCTGTTGCTGTCACATCCTCTGTGACCCCCAACCTCTTCTCACTGGGCCTCACTGTGGAAGTCTACAACCATTCACTGCAAAATGATCAACTACCCAAATTTGAATACACATTCAAGTTCAAGCTCTACATACAGCTCCCTAGCTTCTAACCCACCAAAGGCTTCCCACTGCACTTACAATACAATCTGAACATCTTTGCAGGGCCTGCAAGACCTCTGTCTCCTCTGAGACCCCTCTTCTACCAGCTTTCTTCTTACTCACTATACTCTGGCCACACTGGCCTTGCTGCTCCTTGAGTTCTCCCAGCTTCTTCCTGGAGTCTCAGGCCATTTGCATCTGATCTTTTCTCAGCTCAGATGTTCCAGATCTCCCCATGGCTGGCTCTTTTTCAGGTTTCAGATCTAAACTCACCTCCTTAGAAAATCCTTCCCAAATGACTCATCCTAACCAAGATAGTTCCCATCAACCTCCCAAGTCCTCAGTAATCATCTGAGTGATTGTTTCTCTATGACAGTTGTCATTCTCTGAACTATTTTTATTTATTTGCTCACTCATTGGCTGGCTGTCCCCTAGACTGCAATTCCATGACAGCAGGGGCCTGGTTTGTCTGGTTCGTGCTGTCCTTCCTGAATCTGGCACATCATCGGCACTTGGTGATGGCCTGCAGAAAGAATGAGCATCTCTTCTCTAAGTCAATAGCATGGGATTCCCATGGATTGGAGAATCTATCTGAGCTGTCAGACAACACAGGCCATCTGCTGTGAGCCGGGTACTATGAGACGCCTGAGATGGTGCTAACACTAAGGAGATTCTCAACAGCCCACGAAGTGGCTCTGTAGGTCCCCCCTTCATTTTTGTTCAGTTTTACACCTTTGCCATTAAAAATAATTAGGACTAGAAAAAAAATTCAAAATACAAGATTAGGACTCTCTGCATCGCATTCTGTTATTTCTGCCAGTGATCTTGGTGGTTCTCACACTGAGGGTACTAGACTTATGGTAAAAACTCTAACAAATCACTAGCCATGCAGTGGCCAACATCATTTGTTACTGCCAGAGGAGCCCAGTCACCCAACAGCAAGCTATTTCTGCCAGTGATCTTGGTGGTTCTCACACTGAGGGTACTAGACTTATGGTAAAAACTCTCACAAATCACTAGCCATGCAGTGGCCAACATCATTTGTTACTGCCAGAGGAGCCCAGTCACCCAACAGCAAGCTGACACACAGGGAGAGCCAAGACACCAGGCATCCATCTCTTTAATGGGACATTAATGTCTTCAATTGGCCGCTCAGTCCAACTGGGGCAGTCAAATTGCCCCGGATGCCTGTAGTTTATGGAGTGGGCTCCCCTGGCAGCTCAAATCCAGCCAACCCAGTAGGAACCTTAATTAAAAATGGTGGCTTAACAAGAAACTCTCACAGGTGCCTGTTTGACATGGGGACCCATTCAGTGGTGCACAGGTCAACCAGGGCAGGGCCATAGGGGGCTGGAGAAGAACTAGCAAGGAAAACATAAGCAGGTGAGACCCCTCTCCCCTCACCATACTCCCAGCCCCTCAAGATCCTCTATATTCTAAAATCAGACTCTTTATCCCTAACCCAGCAGCCAAGCTCATTGAAATGAATCATCTCCTTAGCTACTTGCTGACATGGGGCAGGAAGAAATCAGATGCTGGAGTGATGTGTGGGCAACACTTGCCAAGCTTGGTCATGTTTCCCCTTCCTTCCAGTATCACCCCCCATGTACATTTACTCCTTCATTCAACAATCACATTCAGTATCCACAAATGACATGTACTCTTCTAGGTGCTGGGGATACAGACGTGAACAAGGGAGATATAGTTCCAGCTCTCTTGTAGGCAACCAAATAGTAATCAGATAAATCAACAAGATGGTTTTAGATGGCAAATGCTAAGAAAAAGAACAAGAAAATAGGAATGTTTCATGTAGCTACTGTGGCATACGTGAGTGGCCAGGGAAGGCTTCTCTGAAGGTGCACCATTTGGATTTAGGTCAGAAAGACAAAAAAAAAAAAAAAAAAAAAGCCAGCTATGTGACAACCTAGGGAAAGCACTGTAGGCCGGGGGATCAACTCGAGGCAGGAACAAGCATGGCATGTTTGACACAGACACAAGAAGTGTAAGTGGGGAGGAGAGTGGCTCGGGACAGAGGCCAGATCATGTAGGGCTTTATGGGTCTGGAGGCAGGGCTGATGTTACAGGGTGGTACTGGGTAAATCCATCTCCCCTGCCAGAAAAATAACTAAAAGCTGATCCTGTATTGGGGAGGGGTAGACTGCATGCTATGGATCCATGCATCCAGGTATCAGTCCATCTGTCCATCCATTGACCCACCCATCCTTCAACCCATCCATCCATCCATCCATCCATCCATCCATCCATCCATCCATCCATCCATCCATCCATCCATCCATCCATCCATCCATCCATCCATCCATCCATCCATCCATCCATCCATCCATCCATCCATCCATCCATCCATCCATCCATCCATCCATCCATCCATCCATCCATCCATCCATCCATCCATCCATCCATCCATCCATCCATCCATCCATCCATCCATCCATCCATCCATCCATCCATCCATCCATCCATCCATCCATCCATCCATCCATCCATCCATCCATCCATCCATCCATCCATCCATCCATCCATCCATCCATCCATCCATCCATCCATCCATCCATCCATCCATCCATCCATCCATCCATCCATCCATCCATCCATCCATCCATCCATCCATCCATCCATCCATCCATCCATCCATCCATCCATCCATCCATCCATCCAT